TGATGTGCCATAGAAGGTGGTTGAACATATGAGGAGGTTACTCCACAACTTGTGTATCAAAGTGAAACACTCAGGTAGCACAGGAGATACATAGATCTGGGAGAGTACGCCATGAGCCGAGAGATACGGTTATCTCGTGACTCAACATGGGGACGTACTAGTCTACCAGACGATAAACCTAGAACCTATAAAGACGCTATTATCGGATCCAGATTCCGTAAGTGGTTGAAGCCATGAAATCTGAGATAGACTCCATGTACCAAAACCAAGTATGGTCTCTGGTGGACCCACCTAAAGGGGTAAAACCCATGGGTGTAAATGAGTCTTAGAAGAAGACTGACATGGATGACAAGGTGATATACTTATAAGGCACGACTGGTTGCTAAAGGTTTCAAACAAATTCACGGTATTGACTATGAAGAAACATTTTCGCTGGTTGCCAAGATCAAATCCATCCAGATTATGTTTGCGATTGGTGCATATCATGACTATGAGATTTGGTAAATGGATGTCAAAACAGTTTTCCTGAACGGAAACCTGAAGAGGATGTGGATATGACACAACCTGATGGTTTCGTTCTTGATGGGCAAGCTGATGAGGTATGCAAGTTGCAGAGATCTATTTTGGACTCAAGCAAGCTCTAGGAGCTAGAACATTCATTTTGATGAAGCCGTAAAAGAATTCGGTTTTATCAAGAACGAAGATGGCCTTGTGTTTACAAGAAAGTGAGTAGGAGCGCAGTGCCATTCCTAGTGTTGTATGTCGATGACATACTCTGATTAGGAATATACCGAACTTGCAATCGGTAAAAACTTGGTTATCCAAGTGCTTTTCCATGAGGACTTAGGGGAACGCAGCCTACATCCTTGGGATAAAGATCTGTCGTGTTAATCTCGTAAGTTGCTTGGCTTAAGTCAGAGTGCATATATTGACAAAGTACTGAAAAGATTAGTATGGAAAATCCAAGAAGAAGGAATTTCTTCCGATCTCACATGGTGTTTATCTCTCTAAGAAAATGTGTCCTAGAACACAAGATGAGAGAGATAAATGAAGAGGATCCCATATGCTAGCAATTGGATTATCATGTATGCCATGCTATGTAACGATTGATGTCTCATATGTTTGAGCACTTGTAGCAGATATCAATCGGATCCAGGTGGCATCACTAGATGGTTGTCAAAAACGTTCTAAGTACCTGAAGAGGACTAGGACATTCTTGGTTTATGGAAGGGAAGATGAGATCACTGTAAGAGGATACAGTGATGCTAGTTTCCAAACAGACAAAGATGATTTCGATCGCAATCAGGGTTTTGTATTTATCTCAACAGGGGTGCAGTGAGCTGGAAGAGCTCCAAGCAAAACACCGTAGCAGACTTACAATGGGGCTGAGTATATTCCATTATTAGATGCGGCCAAGGAGGCAATCTGGATTAAGAAGTTCGTCACCGAACTTGGTGTGGTTTCCACGATTGTGATCTAATAGACATCTATGTGACAACAATGGAGCAATCGCTCAAGCCAGGGAGCTACGGTCTCATCAGAAGTCCAGACACATACTCAGACGATCCATCATCAGAGAAATAGTTGAGAGGAAAGATGTACAAATCAGTAAAGTGCATACTGACGACAATCTAGCAGATCCACTGACAAAGCCTTGTCGCAGCAGAAGCTGAAAGGCACTTGAGATCATTTGGTATTAAATACATGAATGATGGCTATGTGGCAAGTGGGAGATTGTTAAAGTAGGGGCCCTACAGCCAATCAATTATTGTAGAGTTAACTCTTTGTAATATGTTCATTGATCAATAAAAGGCATTTATTCTATTGCGTAAACTATATTGTGTGTATTGATATATGTCCTTAGAATGGTAGAACTGTGACGAGGGTATAAGTGTTTCAAATCTTGATAGTGAGACCCTATGAGCACATATGGTGGCCATTCTAGAAACGTTCGTAGCCCTGTATTATTCTGAAGTAAGGGCACAAAAAATACTGTAAGGCTATCATAGTGTTGAACGACCTATCAAAAGGCAGTGACTAATCTCACTTGTCAAGGTTGTTTGGTGACAACTTGGTGCAACACATGGGTGCTTGGGTAGGCAAGTTCACTAGAATGACCATCAAGGATTCCATATAGATGGAACTCTAGTGTTATGGAACAAATCCTCTAACGATGGTGGTGCATGTGATCCTTAGACTTGAGATCATCGGAGCGCCTTGGGCACCGTGGTTTAGTTTGACACTAGCTCAACGTAGTTATATTCAGAGCTGTCAATACAATAGTGAATCCAGACAAAATTTCATTTTGGGAGATTTTTTTTGTAATTTTAGAAAAAAAATTTTAAAAAAATTTTGACTTGGGCTTATAAAACATGCTTACATTGCTTATTAAAACCAAGGCATCCAACTAAGTTCCCCTAATTAGGTTTAATTCAGGGAAATAATAAGTCTTATTGGACACCATTTTACTATACCATAACCCATAAAAAATGCCCCAATGAAACTGCTTGGGTCTATTAGTCTCCAGGAAAGAGTTGAGAGAAAGGGATTTTCAAATGGAGCCAATAGACTTTTGTTGAAATGTTGAATGGTCTTCAAATAACCTTGGGCCTTGTTCAACAAGGGTTTAGGGATTACAACCTCCAAGTTACAAACTATTAATCCAGCAGGATTTGGACTTCGTGTTGGAAAGGAAGCTATAGACACGTCTCACAACTATTGGAAGTGGTATGACAAGAAAGCTTGTAGTACTTTACATTAAATCTTCTTAATCAAATCTTAAGAATCACATTCTTATATAAAATTTTAAGGGTGTTTGTTTGAGCTTATGAAAATTAGCTTATAAGCAACAATTGCTTATAAGCTAAAATTAGCTTATGAGCATTTGAAATTTTAAACAATTACGTGTTTAGTTAAAGTACTTATAAGTGACTGATAAATAATTGACATGTTTGGTAAAATGTGGCTTATAAATACATTTTATTATAAAATTACTAAAAAATGTACTACATTAAACAAGAACATATTATGGAATTTTAAAATTAAATAAGGATAATGTGGTAATATATTTGGTCAAACTAGCTTATAAGCCAAAAAAAAAAAAAAAAAAAAGTACCTCCCCCTCAACTTATTTTTTTTAGCTTATAAGCTCAAAAAAATTATAAACAAACAAGTCAGCTTAATTTTAGAGCTTATAAGCAAGTTTTACCAACTTATAAGCTTAGACAAACACCCCCTTTATCACACCATTTAATTGCTCACTAAACAAATATTAAGCTCAAAAAAATTATAAACAAACATGTCAGCTTAATTTTAGAGCTTATAAGCAAGTTTGACCAGCTTATAAGCTTAGACAAACACCCCCTTCATCACACCATTTAATTGCTCACTAAACAAATATTCCGAGGAAAATAAACTGGTCATAGCCATGTGGAACAAAGCAGGGAATTGCTCATACACTTGGCAAAACTATTATGAAATCTACCTAGTAGGGGTGAGCACGAGTAGCGGGTAGAACAGGAACCTACCCGGAACTGAAACTGTACGGTTTTGATTCCAGTTCCCATAGGTTTCGGAATAGAAACCTGGGAAAAGAACTTGGAGCGAGTACCTAGTTTAGAACCTGCTTGGAACCTGTTTGTGTTTTGGTTTTGAATGAGAAATTTTTATATGAATTATGATGAATTGAATGAATTCAATTGTTTCCTAGGCATTAGAGGATTTATGAGTCACATTGGACACAGATGATTGAGTAATCAAAAGTTGAAAACTACTAAATGTAGGTTTTCTTAATTTGTTAGGGGTGTATTTGTAAACTTTTAATGTATTTTTGTCATTTTTTAAACTAATAGGGGGTAACTGTTTTTTTACAGGGTACCCGGGTAAGGAACCAGAACTTTCATTTCAGGTTCTGATTCCTTGAATTTGAGAACCGAAACCGACAATTTCTGATTCCGGTTTCGGTTCTTTTTTTTTTTTATGAACCTACACTATGCGATTCCGATTCTGGTTCCCCCGAAAAAAACAAGATAACCGAAACCGCTCACCCCTAAAATCTGGTTATACTTATACACGCACAAAATTGCCCTCAAAATGCTAAGCACCAAAACACAATCTAGAGCCTTTATGGCTTATGCATACCTAAACAAATCCCACAGACCTTCATCTAAATACTTGTACATGAGAACGACACTAGTTTAGAAATTCTCTAGTCTCTTACCATAATTACAAACTTTATTGGCTACTCGCAATTAATCAGCTCGTAATAATTACAAATTTTATTGGCTATTCGCAATTAATCAGCTCGTAATAGATACTACCTGATAAATTACGAGCTCTCATATCAATATTATGAGAGAATATTTATGAAAAATGATTATCGATATAACATTACTTTTTTTATTTTATACACTACTTTGAAATTTGATAATGAAAATAATAATATTAATAATGTGAAATTATATGATTATGAAATTTTTACACAATTCCTATTTATGTGTTTAGGTATATAATTTAATATTCTAGTACAAAATTATTTATAAGAGTTCAATATTATATTCATTAATTAATTAGAAGAAAAAAAATTAGAAGATTTTAATGAGTCTAGTTTGAGTAATTTGATGAATTAATGTTGAGTTCGAGTTTTTATATTTAGATCCAATAAGCTAACGTGTCATGTTTAGTCATTCGTGGTCTAAGAAAAATTGACACAACACGATTGCGATATAACACAAAACTGTTTCAACTTTCAACATGACTCATTGCCAACTCTAATCTCCATTAACAGATCCTCCTGAAGGATTCCATTCCATTAACAATTTCTATTGTAAGTAAACCATTCCATTTCCAATTTCTATTGTAAGTAAACCATTCCATTTCCAATCCCGTGGGCGTGGAGTAATCATGGCCGAAGAAGAAATCAATCCAATAAGCAACAGAACTGGCAATTATTGACAAAGCAGTAAAAGCATTGATAAATGTTAAAATTCCTAAAGACAATAAGAAAAGTAAAATGAATAAGGCACAAAAAAATACATATATGAAAGAGTGTGATAAATTTGCTTGCATCTGTGGAAACAATCTCTCAAATAATTTACATGTACAATGATTCAGCCCAAAAAAGAGATTAGCAAACAACTCCACGATCTACATAAAAGCACTTTAACCTACGGTTAGATCTAAACTAAAATTAACTAAACTCAGATAAAACATAAGCAAAGTATCCTAGAAATGGTTTAAGGATTATGAATGAATGATCCTAAAGTTTGTGAAGAAATTTCTCATTGCTCGTGAAGTGATATGCATATTGTTAAACAGATTCAGTACCATAACCATCATGGTTTTCCCCATTTTCTTTGCTCAATTTTGATTTTGGTAAACTGGAACCATTTCTTGGAGATGCTTTACCTGATTGTTGCTTCTTATTGTATAAATTAAGGTACGTGTAGAAAGTCATACCCGCAATTGCTACAAACGCTCCACAAATGCTGGTTGTGCCTGGATTCGAACCAAACAGGTAGTAATTTCCAAGAAGTATAACACAGGTTTTGAATTGTCCGAGGACTACGTGAGAGATAGCTGATGTTGCCCTGAAGGAGAAAGAGAACCAAAATCAACTCAATATCAAATATTTAACTGCCAACGTAAACCAACTTGTCGTAAACATCAAACTATATAAAACAATATCCAACATCTTAAGATACCAAAACAAAACAAGAAGCAAATAATAATATTGAAAAACATAGTTACAAGAATATAAAAGATATTAAATGTATTCTCCAACAACATATATCAGCTGAAAACACAAGGAAAAAGAACTGTACCCAACCTGCTCAGTTTTTCTGGTAAGCCTTTTAAAGAACATTCAAGAAAATATCAAGTATACACGATGACAAGATCCTTTGTCAACTGTTGTAAGTTCAAGAAAGCAAAAGTTAGCATCACTTAACACTGAAGCATACTCCAGTAGTTAAAGATGTATCAGGCATTCTTTTGAAAAAAATTCCGAAGCAATAGAAGTTTGACATCTGGCTGAGGTTCTCAGTGCTTCTCTCAAGTTATCGATCTGTCCATATGAATTCTAACCAAAAGAGAAAAAATATAATAAATCTTTCTACTTTCCAGTCCTAAACATAATATTCATATTTCCTACCCTTCTCCAATAACAGAGTGAAGGTACAAAAATATCATAATAATTCTATAGTAGCCCAGGAAAGTACTAACAGAAGGTGATGTAAAGACTTTTTTCTTGACAAGAGAAAGATGAAAGCAATAGCTGAGATTAATGCAAGGTCTAACATTCCAACCATGCCAAGGAAGATGTCCCAATTGGTTTATCACATCCCAAGAATATTTAAGAGGACAAAATATAAAGATAAAAGAGTTCAGCTTAGGATCCTTTTAAGGATAAATTGCCTCAACTCCATACAGCAGAAGTAAAGATCTTTGCCTGAAAGATGCATGGTTAAAGTCCAACAAGTTTCATCCATCAACACCATCAAATTTGAGGACAGTTGTCCTCAAAAGTGGGAAGGCAAGAAAATGTTTTTTATGGAACCCTTGAACACAAGCCCCACCAGTTGAGCACCCAACCTAGAGATAAAATACAATCAAAAGTAAAAAGACTAAAGAAACAGCAATCACCCAACTTGCTTATTTCAATTAGCCCATTTGAAATGTTTATCAAGAAATGCCTTATTCAGATATCAAGTGCTTCAGAAACTTTGTTAAATCCTTCAATTCAATCTCTGTTTCATCCCTCAAGATATATTCTCTCGCTCCCCCCTTTGTTGCTGAAATTCTTAGCATTTCGATCTCCTCCTTATAACTGTTTCCATCATAAATCGATTGCTTCTTCTCCAACAACTGATGTAATCATATAATAGTTTTCTTTCCTATCCCACTTTTCCAACTAAGTTGTCACCACTTTTCTCACATTAAATCTTCCAGTATCCAAGATTTTCCAGGGCTGTCCTGCGCTTCATCAATTATGGACAACACATTTAAATGCTTGAGTCTTATACCAAACCACTAATTTGTGTTTACAAAATATTGTCCAATAAAAAACAGTTTTAGCATGTAGTATATCTAGACTTAGCTATACCCCAAGCTAAACTTGTTTCCCAGGCGATCTCATCCATATACCAATGAATCTGCTCAAATCCAAATTTCCTGCTGGTGCATTATGCTAGTTGGAGGATAAGAACCTGTCTGATTAGATCAGATGCTTGATACTCATTGTGGAATCGACATTTATTCCCTCAAAATATGGAAGTTTTGAGCAACAATGGAGATTCGAACAAGACTCCAGCTAAATCTCTTATGTAACATTGTGGTATCAAGGCCCTGTAATCCACACAAAAACGTCAACTACCGTCTTTCTTTCGAACCAACAACACAAGACTAGAGAATGGGCTAATACTAGGCTGAATAATACTTGCAGCCAACATCTCCCCAACCAATCTCTCAATTTCATTTTTCTGAGTGTAAGAATATCGGTATGGTCTGATGTTTGGGGTTTGGGCTCCGTCTTTCAAGGTAATTGGGTGGTCCTGTCAACAAAGAGGGGGAAGGCCCGCAGGTTGGTCAAAGATGGGGGCAAATTCGGTTAAAAGAGCATCTACCCTTGGGTCAATAGGGATTACCTCCTCTTGCTCCTGTTGGATTTTGATTGATTCCGGCTTCGGTCATCGTGACTCGCATGAATCTCCAATGATTCAACCTTCTCTTTTCCTCGATTCACGCTCCCGTCCTTCTCATCCTTCAATCTAATCCATTCCCTCAACTCTAGTAGATATTCCTTGATATTGCCGACATCTTCCTTAACACTGGTAACATCTTCCTTAACACTTCCTACCTCCCTCTCAATTCCCTCCATTCTTACCTCCATTCTCTTATTCACCATTACCCACACCAAGCTCTGATACCAGTTTGATGGGAACCTAGATTCTCAATGCTCAAAACAACCCAAACAGACAGTAATTTACCAAACAGGACAATATCCCAACACAAATCAGAGACAATTGAGAAAGCACTAATATGAATATACCTTTGAATTGATTGATAAATAAATGGATAACAATGACTGTGAAGAACAATTAAGAAAGCAGTAATGAATGTAAAGATAAGCCAGCTCTTCGAGGGGCTAGTCCCTCCCAAATTCCTACTGAAAATATTCTCTCCTTTTACAATTTGAATCTCTCAATTTATACTCACAACGTCACACCAATTGCATTGTTCCTGCCACGTGGATAACTAACTCCCACTTGCACACCCGCTAATTGCCCTTAAAATTCCTTTTGCAAATTTGAGTAGTAGGGGTCGTATCATACTGTCACTAAAATTATGATGTTAAAAGCTCCTTCAATATTTAGTTGATAGATTGGCTATAACTCTAGCATCCAATTAGCAATTCTTCCTTTGATTCCCTTTTTTTTTTTTTTTTTTTTTTTTNAAAAATCAGTATATGCATTTTTTATTCTAACTGCCTTAATATACTAATGACCTTTACCCATATTCCTTCCATGTACTCTACTGCCACGTGTATTTCCTCCAACTGAATCCTACTGGCGTAACAACTTTTAGAGAGCACCTTTAGTGTTGCTTCACACGTCTCACACCCTTCTGCCCTTGTGCCCCTTGTATTGATAAACCTTGTTGATAGGGGGCTTATCAGAGGAATTTGCACATATTGACACTGCAAGTCTCTAAGAGCTGATCGTAAAAACAATTTCTTTTAGAAATCATTTAGCCAAAGATTACATAACCAGCATCAAACTAATTTCCAGGACACTGAGCAGCATTTTCTGTCGTTCAAATCATGTGACTCAATAACAGTCTTACAGACTTAAATTCACCAAATTATCACCATGAATCCTGAGCTCAATAGAAAACACATAGATCGCAACTAACCGTATGCAATAAAGGCAGGAACTGAAACTCTTATTCTTTCAACGACAAAACAAAAAAAGGCATGGCATAGACAGTTTAATAGAATAAAAAGATGTCACTTACCCAAGAGCTAAAGCACCAGACCACTGAAGCAAGAAGCCAAGAAAAGCAGACATAAGAATCGCCAATGTGTTAGTGAGGTTCCAGTCAAAGGAGAGGACACCAGGGGGATCTAAGATAGGAATTAAAGAAACAAGGAATAGCACAGTGATTGGTGTTGTCTTCCACATTAACCTGAAAGACAATTTCACAACTCAGGTAAAGATCAAATTTGAAATATTGCAGTAACAGAGTAACATCAATGGAAGTTAAGTATTCAATCTAGCACATAACATACGCCAAGGCTGTCCAATTTTCTCGTTGTTGCATATCGGACCAAAGTATCTTGTTAGTTGCACTTGGAATTATCCATGCCAATGCCACACAAGCACCAAAGAGACTAAATTGCAGATCAGTTACAGTAGCAACAGCAACACCAATGGACACAACAGTAAGTGTAACCACCTGAAAAAACTCACGGAAAGAACTTCACATGAATGAAAACTATAACATTTTTACTGGAACTAGTGGTAATGTCAAAAATAATAAAGACTAACAGTCAACAGATCAACCAACTTATTCTTAAAACTTGTCAGAAATTACTTCAGCAAAGGGAAATTCCAGAAACCTATTGATAGACCTCCCATTAATCACGTTTATCATTATAAAGGGCATAAGAGACATTTGAGGCAGTAAATGCAGGTTGTGAGGTGCCTGGTTGTTTGGAGAGTCTGTTACAGTCACGTGAGTGGGGAATCAAAGTTGTTAGTAGAGAATAGGTGGTTAAGAAGATAGTTTAAATAGAGCGGGTCTGTTCTGGGGTATTATCAAGTTTTAGTCTATTGTCATTAAGGGAGGTCCCCAACTCCTCGAATTGCTGGGATCTATCAGTTTGGTATTTTATGCATTGTTGGTTACTCTTCATTTTTCAGTAATATAAGCTTGTTGAGACTTCTTTGAGCATATTACTCTCTGTTTTGTGGATTGTTTGTGTTTTTGCTGGTTGATAGTGCAGGGAGTCTTAACAAATTGGTATCAGAGCCTCGTTGGGTTATGGTTAAATCGAAGATGGAAAACAGAGTGGAAGGTTTGGAAAAGGAAATGGGGAACGTTGAGAAGGAAATGGAACTGTTAAGGAAGAACTAGGGAGTATTAAGGGCTACTTACTAGAGCTTCGTGAGTGGATGAAGTTTAAGGAAGAGAAGGATGCAAATCTGAGCCGGGATAAGGGGAAAGAATCTAACGGTGAAGCTTCCAACAGTAGTGACAGTAAGGGAGTGGATAGGAACAAGGAGGGAGAAAACTCAAAGGTGAAGAAGTTGGAACTACCCATATTCAACAGGGAAGATCCTTGTGGATGGACATTCAGAGCTGACCGATATTTTTCGGTGAATAAATATGAGGAGGAAGAAAAGGTGGTGGCAGCCGCCGTGTGTATGGAAGGTCGTGCCCTGAACTGGTATCAGTGGGTGGAGTCTAGAGCTCCCATCGGGTCTTGGACAGACTTTAAGACTGCAGTAGTGGAGAGGTTCAGACCATCATTTAAGGGATCAGCCTATGAAGCCTTGGTAGCTTTGAAGCAGATGGGTACAGTGACGGAGTACAGGGAAAATTTTGAAGCTCACACAACACCCTTACGTGAGGTTGGAGAAGACATTCTGATGGGGGTTTTTACAAATGGGTTAAAAGAGGAAATAAGAGCTGAGACTCGCCTAACACAGCCCACTTCCCTGTTTGCCTTGATGGATCAAGCCCACCGCGTGGAGGAACGCAATTGGGTTTTAGACAAAAGTCGGGCCAGATTTACTAAAGCCCAAGGAAACAAACTGGACCCTTACACTTGGGTCACCCCAAGCCCAAACCTGGAACCCAGTCGCCCAAATTGGTGGACTAACCCATCGCGAAGTGCAGACCTAAATCCCCAATTTTCCCCAAATCGATTTCACGACAGAAAACAATTAAGCGGCGACGCGACTAACCGACGCCGAGCTACAGCAAAAACGAGAAAAGGGTCTCTGTTTCCGTTGTGATGAGAAATATGGACCAAATCACCGCTGTTGGAGCAAATCGATCCAGATACTGCTAGTAACCGACGACGACAGGGCAGAAAACGACGGTGGCAGTCCTGAACCCACCTCGGAAGTATTAGACGAAGGTAACCCGTTGGCCTTGTCCATGCATTCCATCGTAGGGGTTACTACTGATAAAACCCTAAAATTAAAAGGGGTGATTGGAGAGTCAGAGGTGATTATTTTGGTTGACAGTGGGGCTTCCCACAATTTCACTTCGCATGAAGTGGTGCGAAAGTTAGAGCTACCAGTGGAGAAAGGTAAATCTTTTGGGGTGATGGTGGGAAACGGATTGACAGTTAGAGGTGAGGGAATTTGCAGAGTTGTGCCATTGCGGATGCAAGGGATCGAGTTGTGCCAGGACTATTTTCCATTTGAGTTAGGGGGAGCAAATGTAGTGCTGGGCATTTCTTGGTTGGTACATTGGGAGATGTCTGTGCAAATTGGAGAAATCTGACTATGGAATTTTTCAGTGACGGTAAGTGGGTGGTTCTGCAAGTGGATCCATCGTTAGTCAAGACTATGGTATCACTAAGGGCAATGCTGAAATCCTTACAGAGAGAGGATACGGGATATGTGGTCGAGTTATGCTCCATTGGTGTTAAGGAAGAGGAAACAGAGGAACCCATGGACCCAACAGCCGCAGCAGTTGTTGATGGGTTTAGCCATTTGTTCGAACAGCTGACTAAACTCCCACCCAAGAGACCCACGGACCACGCCATAGTCTTAGAAACCAATACCAAACCTCCCAACATTCGCCCGTACAAATACTCATTTTCCCAGAAAAATGAAATCGAAAGGCTGGTAGGTGAGATGCTGATGGCAGGAATTATACAACCCAGCACAAGTCCTTTTGCTAGTCCGGTTTTGTTGGTAAAAAAGAAGGATGGTAGTTGGCGGTTTTGTGTCGATTATCGGGCACTTAATAACATCACTATTCCAAACAAATTCCCAATTCCCTCAATTGATGAACTGCTGGACGAACTATCAGGGGTTGCCATTTTTACAAAACTGGACCTCAAATCCGGTTACCACCAGATTCTGGTTAAAGAAGAAGACGTTCCCAAAACAGCGTTTAGAACCCACGAGGGGCACTATGAGTTCCTGGTCATGCCCTTCGGGTTGACCAATGCCCCGTCCACTTTTCAAGCTTTGATGAACACTATTTTTAAATCAGTCTTGCGGAAGTTTATACTTGTATTTTTTGACGACATTCTGATTTACAGCCCTAATTTGAAGACCCATCTGTTGCACATGCGACACATCTTTCAGATTCTCACTAAGCATGAATTGGTTGTCAATTACAAGAAGTGTCTTTATGCCCGTCACATATTGGAGTACTTGGGTCATTTAATCTCAGCAACAGGCATAGAGGCTGACCTACAAAAGATTGATTCTATGCTTTCTTGGCCCGTCCCACGCACAATCAAAGAATTACGAGGTTTTTTGGGCTTAACAGATTACTACCGCTGCTTTGTGCAGAATTATGGTTTAATCGCACAGCCCTTAACACAGTTATTGCGAAAAGATTCTTTTGCCTGGAATGAGCACAACAGGCTTTTGACACACTTAAAGCGGCAATGACTAAGGTGCCTGTTCTGGCAGTCCCTGATTTCACTCTTCCTTTTGAAGTCCACACAGACGCATCGGGACAAGGGATCGATGCTGTCCTGGTCCAGAATCAACGTCCCATAGCATTCATCAGCCAAGCCTTCTCCAACCAATCCCGACAGAAATCTACCTACGAAAGGGAGCTGATGGCCATTGTGTTTGCTGTCCACAAGTGGAGCCACTACCTTAGTGGCCGCAAATTTATCATTAAATCAGACCAGCGCAGCCTGCAATTCTTGACAGATCAACGTGCTAAGACACCCGAACAACAAAAGTGGATTTCTAAGCTCCTCGGCTTCTCTTTCAAAATCCATTACCAACCTGGAAGTTCAAACCAGGTAGCTGATGCATTATCCAGATGGGGAGAGGGAGTTGAATTGGAGGCCATTTCGGTGGTCCAATTTTCTGAATTTGATGAGTTAGCTGCCGAGGCACAACAAGACCCCAAGCTCCAAGCAATCGTACAAGACCTTCTGTTTGACCCTTCCAGCCATCCCCATTATGGTTTTCGCCGTGGCTGCCTCGTCTACAAAAACAGATTGGTATTACCTGCAAATTCGAAATTCATTACTAAACTATTAGCCGAATTTCACTGCAGCCCAGGAGGGGGCCATTCAGGTTTTTTCAGAACATACAAGAAACTGATGAATATAGTGTTTTGGGCTGGAATTAAGAAAGATGTGCAGAGATATGTCCAACAGTGCTCCGTCTGCCAATTAAATAAGTATTCTACTCTCAAACCAGCATGTTTACTTCAGCCCTTACCGATTCCAACCCAGGTTTTTGAAGATATCAACATGGATTTCATTGGCGGATTACCAAAGTCAAAAGCCCAGGATACTATAATGGCTGTAGTGGATAGGCTTACTAAATACGGACATTTCATCCCTCTGTGCCATCCTTACAGTGCTTAAGATGTTGCTGAACTTTTTATTTCTGTGATTGTGAAACTACATGGATTTCCCAAGTCCATAGTCTCGGATAGAGATAGGGTCTTTCTTAGTCAGTTTTGGCAGGAGCTATTCAAGGCTGTTGGCACTTCATTGAAGATCAGCTCAGCATACCATCCTTAAACTGATGGTCAGACGGAGGTTGTCAACCACTCCTTGGAAACTTACCTACGCTGCTTCTGTAGTTCGCAGCCCAAACAGTGGCATAGATGGCTATCTTGGGCAGAATATTGGTATAATACAACCCATCACAATTCCATAAAAATGACTCCCTTCAAAGCCCTATATGGAAGGGATCCACCCACTCTCCTCCGGTTTACTGATTACCCTTCTGCTATGGAAGAAGTGAACCAGCAGATGGCTGCACGAAATGCAATTTTGGAGGAATTGAAACATAACCTAGCTGTTGCTCAAGAACAGATGGAAGGCACAGCTGACCTGCACCGTCGGGATGTTAGTTTTCAACCAGGGGACCAGGTTTTTTTGAAGCTCCAACCGTATCGTTTCAAATCCTTAGCCAAGAAACTGAATGAGAAACTGAGTCCACGGTTTTATGGCCCTTTTACCATCTTAGAGAAAATTGGGCAGGTTGCTTACAAGTTAGAGCTGCCCACTACGGCGAAAATTCATCCAGTATTTCACATTTCTCAGCTTAAACGCAGTCTACACCCCTCGGTGCCCATCCAACCCCTGCCCTCTTTCCTCACCGAGGAACTGGAACTCCTGGTTCACCCAGACTCAGTTTTGGCAGTCCGCACTTTGTTAGATGGTTCTCGGGAAGTCCTTATAAAATGGAAGGACTTGGCTTCCTTTGAAGCATCGTGGGAGGCTTTTGATGTTATCAATCTGCAATTTCCCCAATTCCACCTTGAGGACAAGGTGGCTCTTCATTGGGGAGGGGGGGGAGGGAGGGGGTGTGGTATTGATAGACCTCCCATTAATCACGTTTATCATTATAAAGGGCATAAGAGACATTTGAGGCAGTAAATGCAGGTTGTGAGGTGCCTGGTTGTTTGGAGAGTCTGTTCCAGCCACATGAGTGGGGAATCAAAGTTGTTAGTAGAGAATAGGTGGTTAAGAAGATAGTTTAAATAGAGGGGGTCTGTTCTGGGGTATTATCAAGTTTTAGTCTATTGTCATTAAGGGAGGTCCCCAGCTCCTCGAATTGCTGGGATCTATCAGTTTGGTATTTTATGCATTGTTGGTTACTCTTCATTTTTCAGTAATATAAGCTTGTTGAGACTTCTTTGAGCATATTACTCTCTGTTCTGTGGATTGTTTGTGTTTGCTGGTTGATAGTGCAGGGAGTCTTAACACCTATTTACTCGGGGCATAGAAAAATATTCAACAGCTTTACTTTAGATAATTGTTCTCAAAAGAAAGCAGAGAAATGGTATACATACATCCAGATAACACTATGAACTTGCTGATCCATGGTTTGCCAATGATTTATCCCCCTCCTAGGAGGATTGCGCAACTAAGGTATCAAAACTTATATAACTATATGTTTCAACTATAAGACTAAACAAATCCACAAAGAAGACAGAGAAATAATAGCAGAGATTTCAGAAAATTTTCAGAGGTCTTTAAGTACAACAGAAAATGAAAGGTTTCAAAAGCTAATGCCATGCAAACAAGAATTCAAATCCTTTGTATATACTTTATAAGAAATCAAATGTTTAAAAGATGATGACATACTCCAGGGATGACCTTCTGCCTTTTTCAACAATACACTTACAGTTTGTATGTGAAAATTCAAAGTTGAATAATTTTGCCAGATTAAACATATAGATATTTCAGGAACTAGCCCCTCCAATCTCTTTTGATACATTAAATAAACAGAATGAAGATATAACCAGCCTCTCTTATCTAATCACCAGACTCCTGAAATCAGTTTGAAGTATAGCTTGTAGAACAACAAAATAACATGAAATAGAGGACTGCCTAATGATACACACTTAATTTCAGCTAACAATCACGTTGATGAGGAAAGTCCACCAAGAGAACTACTAGTTTATTCCATGAGAAGAAAAGATATAGCAAGAGATAATTCAAGAACTCAAATTAAGGGCAATCAATCTAGCAATCAATCTACAAAAATTAAGGAGCTGATTTCAAGGGAATAAATGGGGAGGATTATTATTAGAATAAAAGAGATTACATTGGTAGTATATACAGCCACCAGAAGACAACATGGCATCAGTAGTATAATTTTCATTTGGGATTCTTTAAGAATTGTAGTCGGGTTAATCCTGGAACAGTTGTTTTAATTGTTTAATTCCTCTTTTGTTTTCATTCTTCTCTCGAATTAATAAAATCAAGCTCCATTTCTTTATACACCGTTTTCACTCTAACACCTAAAATGGACAAGGGGGCAACAAATCAAGTTAAAAACTGTGATGTCAAAAAAAAGTTAATCATAATATTCTCTTGTACATTTCAGATACATACACAATTTGGGTATTGATGTATCAAACCACAAAGTTCAATTTATGTTGGCAGGACATCATCTATGTTGACAATGATAAGAATTTTACTCTGGATATACGTCAGGGCAGTCTTTTGCATGCATACAGTTGTGTCTTATCTGACAACGAAGCACATTATACTTCTCTAGTCAAAGATTGACTACAAGTCATACAAGAATATAAGCATCTTAATACTTTTTCCATTACTATATCCCAGGTGGTAAAAGAAGCCACCTTATGATAATACATATTTTTGTATGTGCATGAAGGTGCAGTGAAACAAATGCCAGAAAGGAGAAGTTACCTTTAAGAGAGAAACTTTCTTTCTGTACCATAAAAATTCTGCCAAAACTATGGATGGTGTAACAGCAATCTTGGCCATCTGATAAAATCCCACACTGGAAAAATATAGAGAATAAAAAACTTTAGACTGGTAAACAAAACAGAACCCAGCAAATAGAAACCCATTAATTTCACCTATTGTACTTCAAGCTAACATTAGCAAGGCCGGTAGAAAAGCACATAACAAAACCAAGAGTTAATAAAGATAAACGGCTTGATTTTGAGGCAGGCGATGCTGGGAGAAGACCAAAAGCATTTAAAATGGCCATCAAGGTCCAGCTCACAACATAGTGAATAAAGCTGAGACAGATTGGGAAGTGGAACCCAATATTTTTAAGCACCTGAAGAAAGAAAAAACCCAGCAAGTTACCAAAAGCAAAAGCATCTAAAATCTGTCAAGTTCAAAAAAATTAGTATACAAACCCATTTGTTCACGAAAATAATGCAGACTGCAACCACAAAATTGAATGTAAGAGCAGCAATTGGGCCACATAGACGTTGTTCGTGACGCTTGGCACCCTCAGACGACCGAAATCTATTAAACAGAGAGGCTTGCAGCTCTTCCAGAGCCCTCCCTAAATTCACCCATTGGAAGAAAAAGTTTAACTACTGTGCAAAGATACCACAGGAAGAGGCGGCACCAAACAAACCCACCCCCCACCCCCCAAACACAAAATAAATAAGTAAATAAAAAGAAAAAAAGTACAGTTTAGTTACAGTTATTAACTCACGCATTAATACTATGGTTTTTAATTTTATCACATCAAGAAAATTAAGAATTCTAACAAATAGAACCCCTTGAAGCTAACTTAGTTTCAAATTAATTTCACTGTCGTTTACATGCAAATTCACCTCCATCTTAGTTCGGCTATTCCAATTTTGAAATGTTGCTGATTTCTTTTGAATCTATTGCATGCCTCAACTCAGAACACATTAAAGCCAGAACTTACCATTTTTGCTTCAAATCAACAAATTTAAAAAAAATTAGTGATTAACTGAAATCAGACAACATTACAGAACCTACTACCTAGATACAAGCTCAAATAAATAAATTACATTAATTAAAAAAACAAAAAGAGAGAGAGAAGAATGAAACTAATGAGAAAAAAAAAATAAAAGAAAAAAGAAAATACCTCTTTCGCCAGCATCACTATCCTTGCGCTTCAGAATTTTTCTAACGTCTTTCTTGACCAAGAAGTTGAAAATCTCACGGCTAAACATCGTTTTTAGTTGTTTCTCTCTCAGTTCATTTTAGTATAACACAGTAGTCTTTACTAAAGAAGAAGAGAGTGTGATATATTTGTTTTATTTTACTTTGGTTTTGAATTTTAAAGAAAAAGAAAGTGAGATTACACGTGGTCTTAAGACAGAGTTGATAGCGGGCAGAGAACGAGAAAATCACGGTGTTTCATTTACCGACCGACAGTGCGACTAGGAAAGCGAGTGTCTGTTGTCATGTATCCGCGTGAGTTGTGTTTTCTTTTGTTTCTTCCTTACACATAATTGAACCAGTCTATTGCGTGTGATGTGCATGCCAGCAAGTGATCGTCATAGCCGTTGATCAAACCTAGTCATATCTAACGAGGTCTGTTAATCTGCAATGTGGATGTGTATGGTTTAGGCACTAATGGAATATTACTATATTTACATCAATTTTTACACTATTTTTATTACACTATAACTATTATTATTAATAATAATTTAATTATTTTAAAATTTTAAAATAATTAAAAATTTGTGTGGATGTGGCATATGTCACATCATGATGTAATAAAAATTGTATAAATGATGATGTAAAGGTAGCATTATTCAATATCAAAATCTGGGTTTACAAAAAGGTAAAAAGCAGAATTTTCTAACCTTTTGTGATATTTATTCTTGATTTTTATAAAATTACGTTTTTTTATAGATTTTATATATTTCATATTCTTTAAATAGTTAAAAATATTCGAGTTTTAAATTTCATAATGTTTTGATATGTATACGCTGTGTTTGGTAAAGTATTTAGAATAATATTTTTGAAAAAATTGAGTTGAGTTATTATTACCAAATTAGATTTGGATTTGAATTTGCAAATGTGTTTGATAAATTTTTAGGAAACATTTTCTAAAAATATTTAGATTATTTTTTAATCCCTTAAATTTGTTAATTTAACCCCTCTATAATAAAAGTTTTAAAATTAACAAAAACACCCCTACCCACCCATTAAATGCATGCAGCCACCACCACCATCGGACAGTGGCTAGAAGCCGCTAGAATGACGCACGACCGGCTGGATCTAACTGATAGTGTGCCAATCTAACCTTTTTCGGCGAAATCCACCATTTCTAGCCAGATCTATGGCCAGATCTGGCCGTTGACGAATCCTGGCCGTTGACGAATCTTGGCCGTCATTTGGCCATTAACAACAATCAAGATATGACCATCATTGACAACCAGATGTGACCAAATATGGCCATCAACGGTCAGATATTTAATCGTAGATTTGGCCTTTTCCGGCCAGATCCATGGTGGATCTAGTTGAAAAGGCCAAATCAGCACACGATTGGCCACATCTAGCTAGTCGTGCACCATTTTGGCATGGCCACCTTCCGACGGTGATGGTTGGCTACCGGGAATATGTGGGTGGGTGGGGATGTTTTTGTCAATTTATAAACTTTTATTGTTGGGGGTGTTTAGTTAAATTAACAAACCTAGTGGATTAAAAAAATTAAATTTTTTGAGTTGAATAAAATATGATTACATTTTGAGAATATCGAAATAAATATGTATTTTGAATAGGATTTGATATAATTGTATTTTGAATAGGGAAACAAATACATATTTTATATTAATATTTGTTTCTCAAAAATCTATAATTTTATTAAATTTTAGCTCACAGGGTTTTTGTTGTAATTTAAATTCTTTTCAAATAATGTAAAAACCCACTTCCTTTTGTTAAAAAGATTCTTATTAAATCTATTTTCATGAAATAATTTTATTTAAATTTTATTTGTTTGAAATCACTGAAAAGCTCTTTTACTCAAATTCTATTTTTTTTCTCTAATGTAAATTTTTTTTAAAATTATTCCAAGACCTAAACCACATTTTAAGTCCTTTAGCGAAGAGTAAATTTACTTAGGAGAACTGTTTTTTTGTTGTTAATTAATCAATAGAGTCAGGTAGTGTTTATTTAAGAGAATATTGTATTATTGGAATATCAATTGGAAGATAGATTAATGGGAATGTTATTGTAATGACTGCATTATACTAGGGTACTCATTGAAAAATAGCAAGTAGAAGACATGAATATTAGCAGAAGTAAATGGGCCCAAAAATTTTATTTTATTACATATAAGCACTCTATACAAAATAAACTATCATTTACAAAATGATATTAAAACAGCGGACAATGTAGCTATTGCTCCTCGCTTGTCGACGCCTGTCTAACCGCGTTCTCACCTAAATCCTGCAACCACAAAGGAAACAATGGGGTGAGCACAAAATAATGCTCAGTAAGTAAATCCTCTACTCGACCGTCCCCATAACTTTTTTCTCTTAATTCTTTCCTTACACTCTTTCTCATCTCATTTATTTTCTCTTTCACACAGCTCTCTTAACTTTTGTTATATGTCACGGCCTCATCTTACCGGAGGCATGGCTGAGTGAAGTTCACATAGCACCAACCCACTCTTTATGACTTTCGGGTGGAGTTCACAAAACACTAACCCTTTTTTTTTCTAACTATCGGGTCGAGATCACAAAACACCAACCCGTTTTCATACCTATCGGGTGGAGATCACAAAGCACCAACCCGTTCTTAGTGCTCTTCTCATTCTTTCTACTCTTAGAGTAGTTCATTCACACAGTTCTTTACTCTTTCTCAAACTAGTATTTATAGTGTAGCTTAATGCTTAGAGTAGGTTAGTCACAAAGTTCTCTACTCTTTCTCAAACTACTTCTCAAATGCATAATTAATGCATATGGATGGTTCATGTTCATTAATGCACTTAGAAAATGCCAATATGCAATGTTGCAAAAATTGAGGTTCACAACTCATGCTCATACTTCTCTTAGGCATTTCATCAAACAACTAGTGTGCATACCTACACTCCACTTTATTTATAAGTCTATCCCTCTCTTGAACCATCCAAAATGGGAGAAAACTCCCTCACCAAGCTATAATCCCTGCCATAACTTAACACTTCCAAAAAGATTTCTCAATCTCTTCCAATTTCATCACAAACTACATTCTCATCACACATCACACTTCTCAATTGAAGTGTATTTAACAACCACAAAATAACTACTCATCTCAACACAAGTTCTCAATAACATAACATATATCATGCATAAATAAATCTCTACTCAAATATTTCTACAATACTCAACTTGGATTGGGATTTACTTATCTTGTGATGTGTGTATTCCACTAACACTTCTCTTTTCCTTTGGTAGATGTCTTTTCTCTACACCTTAGATGCCTTAGATCATTCTCTACCAAGATCCAACTAAAAACCCTAAAAAATCCTTGAAAGCTTGAAGGAGAATTGAGAGGAAATGGGAATGGAAGAGGGCGTGGAAGAAGAATGAATGAAGGGTTTAAACTTAACCCCTTTTTGGCCTAAATTATCTTCATTCATTCCCATATTGCCCTTGCTCTTCCTTTGAATTCCATCCTTGTCCTTTAATTCATTACAATCACACCCCCACTCTACATATTCTCCATAAATTTCCCTAACAATTTACTCCCCACTTTTCCTGCTAACTAAGGGTAGAAGGTCATTTTGCCCCTATGGAAGAATTCTCTAAAAACCTCAATACACATTTTATTCGGCTCTTTACCGCAGCGAAAATTACAGAACCTAGCTCTTTGGTTGCAGAACCTCGTCGTCGCGGCGAGGATTATTCTTCGCCCCGGCGAAGTCTGTAACACCAAGATTTCGCCAAGTTCTTTACAATTTTAGAGCAACCACTCAACCAAACCAATACATCCATTCAACCAAGGGCCAACCAAACAATATTAACAATATAACAACTCAATTAAGAGCAAACAATAAAGATTCAAGCAATGCAACGTAATTAGCTACATACCTCAAGTGGGGTGTTACAATTCTCCCCCCTTAAAGAATTTCTTCCCCAAAATTCACATAAAGCTCTGGGTAACAACTTTGCATGCCTTGCTCAACCTCCCATGTGGCCTCTTTTACCTTGTGATTTCTCCAAAGGACTTCACTAACGAATACTCTTATTTCGGACTCTTTAATCCTTTGTCTAAGATCAACTGGCCGTTCCTCGTACAAGGTTCTCTGCTAACTCAACAGCCTCTACACTCAGAATATGGGAGGGTGTCACTTACATACTTCCGTAGCATCGAGACATGGAAAACATCATGCACCTTGTCCATACTAGGTGTGTAGTGCCAATCTGTAAGCTACCTTTCCCACTTGTTGCAACACCTCTCAGATGACCTATGTATCTCGGTGCCAACTTCCCTTTGCTTCCGAAGCGCATTACTCGCTTATAGGGGGAAACTTTTAGAAACACTTTATCACCCACTCCGAACTCAACATCTTTTCTCTTCAGATCAACAATAACTTTTCTGTCTGTCTTGGGCTTGCTTCATTCTTTTTCTGATTACTTTACATCCTCTATCATTTTCTGAGTCACCTCTGGCCCAAGAGCGTGTACTCAACTCATTCTTTTCGCCGATCTCATCCCAATGTAGTGGAGACCTACATCGTCTACCATACAAAGCCCGTAAGGCGCCATCTTAATTGTAGACTGATAACTATTATTGTAGGCAAACTCCACTAAGGGTAACATCTCATGCCAGGATACTTTTAATCCATACAACACGCTCTCCACATATCCTCAAGCACCTGGTTCGTTCTCTCTATTTGGCCATCTGTCTGAGGATGATAGGCAGTACTGAATGCTAAACGGGTACCCAAATTCCTCTATAACACCATCCGAAAGCTGAACAAACCTGGAATCTCTATCTGACACTATTGTCTTGGTACATCATGCAACCTGACTATCTCCTTAATATAAATTTGAGCCAACTGATCTGTAGTAGTGCTCTCCTTTACTGGAAGGAAACGGGCTGACTTGGTTAACCTGTCCATAATCACCCATGTAGCATTATACCCTTTCTGTACTCTTGGGAACCTGTGATAAAATCCATCGAAATGCTCTCCCATTTCCACTCTGGAATACTAATGGCTGAAGCAACCCTGATGGTCGTTGGTGTTCTGCTTTCACCTGCTGCCAAACCAGACATTTAGCTACAAATTCTGCAATATCTCTCTTCATACCTGGCCCCCAATATCCTTCTTTCA